GTTCAGAACATTATCCAGCTTTCATTTACAAGCGAGCCAAGAACGAAACAAGGGAAACCTGACACAATGGTCTACAGCCAGACCAGGAAGCAAATGGTTCTGGAGCTTTACCCTCTCTCTCACTTAGTGAATAGGTAACTCTGAACATCTCATATGCTTTGAGGCCAATTAATTTACAACCACATAAAACTGTCCTAACAAAGAGGGATACGAAAGTCCTAACCCTAGTCGTAGTCCTATCCCTAATGAACGTGCAAGTTTTAAGCTAAAGCTGTATTAGAGGTTATAGGCAAGCTTAGTATTTCTAACCTCCTGAGAGTTTTTCACTCAGCTCCCCCATCGCACTGTCACAAAGGTACAGATGTACAACTTTCAGACAAAGATAGTTCTATAATGTAACTATGTTAAACTTCCGTGAAATGTAGTCACAAACGTTCAGGTTCAAATCTCACAAGGTTTCCCTCCTGCAAGGTACACTTGCAACTGGGAGTTGTCTCCTTATCATTCCAAGCCCTCTCTGAAGCAACGTGACATTTCTACCTCCTGAACTGTGACTCTCCGCACTCGTTTCCTTTCAGCACTTCAAATACCAGAGCTCTCCAATTACCTCACTCTTCAATCAAGTAAGAGCTTCTGATGAATTCTTGTTTTGATACTGCAAGACGAGTCTCTGACCCATCTTTCTGAACACACTCTTCCCAATTCTAAACCCTAAATCCTTCCTTCATCCACAAATTTTAACTTATTATTGTAATTAAAGAAAAACTCCAAGCAGGGATTTAGCATTTTTCTTTTAAGAAATCCCTTTGGAATAATTTAATGATAGAATTAATTTCTGTCTGCATTGGCACATCCTTAGGGCTGAAATTCATAAAGACTGCCAAAACTACAGATCTACTTTGATTTTATATAGTTTACAGAAAAGGATAAATTGGGACATTCTTCAAATTAAAACACAAAGATTTTATCATATTCCCATAAAGACCCACAACCACTCTTGCAATGAATGTATTTTACAAGTGTGAAAGAGAGAGGTTTTGAAACTTGGTTGAAGTTATACAGACCACAGTTTATTTAAAAACCATATAAACAAAAATCAAAGGCACAAAATACAAAAACATTTCAGAGTAGCTTGTCATATTGAGATCATACAATTGAATCCATAATATTATCAAAATGTGGTACTACATAAGCCATGGTAGGTGGAAATGTTGTAGTAAGTATAAAAAATGTGGAGTATCTACTTGCCATTAAATTAATCAGTAGTTACAAATGTGCTGTAAAAGGAAGTCCATACAGCACACTTATTTGTTTCAAGCACTTTTCATACTGATTATTCAGTTTCACAGATTCCTGTACAGCATGCTTGAGATCTTCTATCTCTTCAAAAAAATCCTAGAGAAACCCAAAAATATTCACCTTAAAGTTTCTTTCAAAGACATTCTCAATACGAGCTAGTCAGCATTTCGGTTGTTCCCAAGTTCAAAGACACCTTCTATGTTTTTATTAATGCACGGTTGAGTTATGCAAGCACAGCTACAGTGATATAGAGCAATCAATTATAACCTTACGTAATAATTTAAAACTTTGCCCTGAACACACAACGCAAGCAGAATTCAAGTTATGTTAGAGCCTGAAATACAGACTAATAATAGGAAAGATGAATTAAAAGAAGGAAAAAATGCTGATTTATCAGAAAAGCTACAAAATGACAGTCCAAAATGACAAGGGAATAATGTCAACCTCACCTGTGCAAAAACATAGCTATATGAGCTGAAGTCAGCCAGTAGTAGATAACACACCATCAACTTTTTAGATCTGAAAGTTGCAAGATTATAAAACAGGGACAACAAGCAAGGAGAGAGATGAGGAGAGTAAACTAAGGAGGATGATCTTAGCATTTGAACAAGACAATACTAAAGAGTTTAAGGTGCAAAAAGGGATACCATATTTAGATCTAAAAAGATATAAAATATTTTTAGACCTTAACTGCTTTGTAAATTGCCAGTATCAGTTTAGAACCTTAAGTACAACTACATTTTGTTAATGAATATCCTATTTCAGAATAGTATCTATTATTTATGACTACACTACGTTAAAAAGTTTGATTTTCGTATTCAAAAGGATAAGATGTATGATGCATTAAGCTTGACAGAGCCTAATACGGGTAACACTATCCAACAGGTTCAACTGGCTCAGATAAAAGCAATTTACAACAAAGGAGGGAATGAAAAAGAGCAGTATGTAAGGCTACACAGAACGTAAAGAGACAGTCCAATAAGAAAGCCGTAAAAACCAAGTCCTGTTGCACTTATTTAATGTCAGCCTATGTGATGTCACTCTCTCAGATTGATCCTTTCGTAATTATGCTACCCCAGAATGCATAACTTAACAAGTAGTTCTAGCTATACCTAATTCAACTAGGAGATAAATTCAGCTTCAGAGAAATAAACTTCATTTATTAAAAGTATTGAGGGCCCATAGCTTGAATGTTTTGTTCAGCTCCTGCAACTCAAGTCTACGGAGAAATTCTGATACTTTGTGAGTGAAGCCAGAAGTTGTTGGGAAATACAAGGACAGCAAGCAGAATGTAATCACCCAAGACTTAATTTCACCAACCTTGGAAAGTCCTGTCTACCAGAGTAACACTGCACCTACTTATATCCATCTGTATTTAACATCTTCTCCTGCCTTTTCTTACGACATTTTTTTTTTTTAAATGAACAGTTACATGTATCTTAAATAACGTACAGTCACTTAAAACTACCTAAAAAAGTCACTGATAAAAAAAACATAACCTCAGATTTATATATCTCTCTCCTGAAAGATGAAACTTTCAGCCACAAGTTGTCCTTAACTGCCAAACATGGGGATCTAGAACTCACCCTGGCTCAATGTTCTGCAAGTTTCACATCTAATGAACTACCACCACGTTTTACTGTTACCCCTGTAATGAAAGCTAGGATAATATTATTTAGCTTGTGAGAGGGGATTGCAAGATAAGAAAAGAGATTCTCAAAAAAAAAATCCAACACAAGACTTGAAGAATAAGCAAAAAACAATTTAAACAAGTTTGTTGCTGAAAATAAAATCTTAGGTCAGGGCATTAAAGTGAGTCCTCTACAGCTAGATAAGATCTCTTCACCTTTTCACATAATTTCAAGAATTACCATATTTTCACACTTTCTCTTTCTACACCTGTATGGACTATCTATCACGAAACCTTCAAAGCCCTCCCCCCTGCCCTCCCTAAGCTTAGAGTTCTGTCAGAGGCATAACTTTGACATGTTTAAATTCAAGAGAAAATAGTTTTCCTCTCACTGACATCATGAAGCAATAGAAGTGATCATTCAAAAAATATTTTTATTATGTCTGCAAATGTCTGTTGGAAGGAATTAAGACACTTATCAGCAGTTACAATTTAATGTCATAACGACATGAGACAAATAATCTCTCATGAAGGAAACCAAATTGTCCAAACATTAAAAAAAAAATCCACAAGAAAATCCAGCAGCTTAAAACCGAAAAAATTAAAATTGCATTATTCCTCTTCTTTAGCCAAGCAGTACTGTAGGACATTAATGTTTCAAGGAGTCATTCTTTTCCATTTCCTTCTCAGAATGCTATAAATTGATTTTTTTAATGTATTTTGCTTGATAACAGCATATGTTCAGCCTAAAGATAAGTTTCAGTTCAGGCAGAAAAGTTAGTTTTTCAAAAATCACCTATTCTTAAACTTGTCCTAAAATAAATTACCTTGTCTAATCCGGCTAATTCATTTTTTAGTGCTCTCCTTTCTGTAGACAACTTTTCATTTTCTTTCTTCAGCTTTTTAATCTCCTTCAACAATAGCTCTATATTCAAATAAAAAAATACAGACTTCAACCATTACAGTCAACCTCCCCCTCATATGAATCATATTACAGCTAAAGAGCTGCCTACGTTTTGTGATATTAGAAAATTATGGTTCAGCTTCTTAAAGTACCTTTTTCATAAAGTGATTTATTCTTAAGAATTGGCCCAGCACGCTCCCAGGTACTATGAAAGATAACAGGATCTGTCAGTTGGATAATCTGCATCTGCCAGATTCTTAGAATGTGGGATTATTTTACTTTAAAATCCACAAAACATATCACATGCCTTCATTACCTTTTTCTGACTTACGAGAGGGTCATATTAGCCCTTGCTGACAGCACATTTCCTGAAAATTATGCCTACATTATATGATCTCTTCAATCTCTTTTTTTGCGCTTTGAAGTGGAACGGGATTGCACCTTAACTTGTGGATTTACTTATGTGAGGAAGAACATGCCCAAACCAGTATTGTCTGGGCTTGTCCCACATTTTAAGGCTAAAACCAGGTTCTTTTGTGTATCAGCGTCTGAAAATCAAAGAACGGAGCAGCAAACATTATCGCTAAGAGATCTGCATAGATACAGCTTACTGGAAAAAACAATAAATAGTACTAAATACAGCCATGCACTCCCACCCATGATTACACTGGCATACCAATTTCAGGGAAAAAACAAAACAAAACAAAACCCCGCTGCTTTTCTCATCACAAACAAATGCAGGGCTGGGTCCACAGATAGGACATTGATTACGAGCTGCCATTTTTACGTAACAGGTTTTCAAAAATGAAAAACGTTTTAGATGCTGCTGGTTGAAGTAGAAGAAATAACCTGGAGTGTGCCTTTGGATCTGAAATGAAATGCATCATCTGTGATGGGCATACTGGAAGCAACATCATCAGAATTAACTGTACGATTACCTAAATATTTACTGCAACAGGACTCCTCCTTTTTAGACATGTCCCTGTGAGATGTTACTTCTCCCTCTGGGGTTCGACTTCTTTTTCCAGAAACAGCACTAGTTTTCCAAGAAACCTTTTTACATTCCAATTGCTCAATTCTTTGCCTCTGCTCTCGAAGATTATGCTCTAGCTCATGAATTTTAATCTGTCAAGAAACTAAATTTTTTTAAAATGCATAGAACAAACACAGTTCAACCGAATACAACTGGAAACATAGCCTGACTGCAAATCTAGAGCTTTCAATTGCTGACTTAAAACTACATTTATCCAAAGTGTCTGAAAGGAGAAACAAATACAGCAAGTGAAGTTTCGCATACATCAAAAGCATTTTAAAAAAATCTGTTACTGAGCACATGCTCGCAAGACAGTATAAATGTACATGCACAAAGATACTAAACCTTTCCGCACAATAAAGCGTACTTTTATAGCAGCAATTGCCAACTTCTAAGAAAAAGTACATATAATCCAAATCATAATGAATATTAATTCACAAACAAATGAAGCCCATGTTCCAGACTCCTAGGAGGAAATCAATTAGACTGGTCAGTTGTAATGCTTGATCAATGCCTAAAGAGGCCATATCCACTTGAAGCTTCTTGAACCACTCCTGGCCACGCAACCCTACCTTTGCTCCAGTTGTGATGCTAGTCTCTTCGCACAGCAAGCCAACAGATCTCGCTACCTGACAGAAGACAATTCGCCTTCGTTTGGTTAGCTTACTGCTGGATTTCTGAAATAAATCGGCTCATGACACATTTTCTAAAATATCGGGCCTGGTGCAAGAGAGGTCGGAAGATGCATATACAGTTGGAAGGAGGGGTAGGTACGCGAGTAAAGAAAACAGCAAGGAAAGGGGAGACAGCTTTCAGTTACAGACCTACCAGTGACAGAGTTCACTTTCAAAGGGAACTACAGACTACTTTCCATTAGCTCGATGGCGTGGGAAACAAAAATGCATTTAAAAAGAAAAACTTGGTCTTATTTTACAAATCTAAAAATTACTTTTCAGTCTCACTAAAAGCTTATGTTTGGCTATTTGATACCATCTCCTACAAATTCTACTTACAGTGAGATTTTTAATTGCTTCGCTTTGCTCCTGGTTTGTTTTGATTTCTTTAACGTAACGTTTCTGTAGATCATTATACATCTGAAGTAGTCTAAAACAGAAGAGATGCATAAATTGCAGTCAAATATGAAAGCCAACAAAATGTGCATCCTTTGTGATAAAAATATTACAGATGCCCCATAGAGATCACTTGGACTGTAGCTGTACTGTAGAGACTCGTAACAGAAATATTTAAGATGGGTGTGAATGAAGTGTGACTGGCAACACAGAAAGAAAAAGCACCAGAAAAAACAGCAAAGCAAGAGTTAAAAGAATGGTCTGTATGGATGGCAAAGAATCCCTTTCACTCAGCCAGACTGAGGACCCTGTTGTTTTTGTCCAGCCCACATGGCCGCACTCTGATTAAACCTCAGTAGAAATAATTCATTGATGGAAGACCTATACACTAGCAACAGGAGGGTGGCAACGAGTTTGCAGCGTGTCACATGTATCATTCCTCTCCCCCTTAGCAAAGCAGGAATAGGAAGAGACATATAAAAAAGTTTGTCCAGAAGCTAGTTTCTTGCCACCAATCAAGAACCCATGACGAGGACTCATGAGGCAGCGTCCCCAGCTCTCCGTGTTGCACACAAGCAACCCTGGCCAGATCACTTGGACACACACATCTCATTGCTTCTGAGTACGTGGGTGTGAGGATATGCGTGAATGAAATCTATGAGAAAATGAGTATGAGTGGGTAACATGAATGTAAAATAAACAGATTTGGGATATTATCTTTCCCCTTGATATTACCTTGCATCAAGTTCTGCTACACTAGTTTCCTACAGTATTTCATAGCATTCAGTCTACATATATCAGGCCCACAATGTAACTGGTGAACATGAACACGTTTTTCCTATTTTATTAGGAATTCGAATAAAAGCCACCATTCATACTAAGTCACGACTGCGCCACAAGCAAGATGAGCGATACTAGTAGAGAACAGCTTTGTAAAATAACATACAAATAGATGCTAGAAAAAAGCTAGGTCAGGTTATCTATGTGCAACCTAATACAAAGCAGGTCCAGCACTAGATTCAAAGAATAACTCGGACTTCTTCAACATAAGCATCTAATTAGGTACTCAATTCAAGCCCAGAGCCAGACACCCAGCCTTCCTACATAGTTGACAAAGAGAGTCTGGTGGACTGTAAAGGTATTTAAAAAAAAAAAAAAGAAAAAAAGAAAAAAATGGGCCTTCTATAGCCATCTAAAGGGAACACTAAAAACAGGGTGGCTGAATCAAGAGCAGTAGGGACTGCCTCTATCTTTGTAAGATCCACAGCCCATCTCTGTAGGTGGACAAAAAGCAGCCTTTGAAAGAAAGGAGCAGCCTATTTATTTTAAAATTAAGTCATAGACCGACATCTTATGTAGCATGCCTAGTCGTTAAAATGTTTCAATACACATTTTCTTAAAACAAAAATGTATCATCTTTTGTATCAAAAATACAGCTACAAGAGCCCGTTTCTAGCATTAATTGGCAAACTACAGTAAGTCGTGGCTCAGTTCTAAAATCAATTAGACTGAAAAGTAGAATCACTTGTGTGGCTTATTTTGAAAGCAGTACTAGCTATAAATTTTATATATATACATAAAATTGAGCGATAAAAAAAATAGAAAATGTAATTACATAATTCTAGGTTAAAAATCTACAAAAAAGATCACGTGTGCACACACGCACCATGGAGCTTCCTTAGCTCATTCAATTTTTCTCAGTGAAAGATTTGAGAAAGAAGTCCATTTTGTTCTTTGTTTACTGATATTTTCAAGATTAATCTAAGATTTAGTATTTCCTTTTAAAATGTAAATAAAATTATTTTCCATTGTTTCAAAAGCTGAAAGCAGCTTCCATACCAGTAAACAAAAATTCAACTGACTTCAACTCATGAACAACATATTCTACCCCACAAAGAAGAATGTTTAATTCTGTGAAGAATTAAATCTGCAGTTTCCAAGAACTCACCTGACACTGTCACCCTCTAGATTAAGATCCTTGCTGTATCCACCCTTATGCCACAAACGGGTTTCTGTTTGAACTTGAACACTTAATTGAAACAAACACAACAGCTTAATAAAATTAGATTTTACAACTTTAATCGGATCAAACAAAGCAACTGAAAAAGGCTAAATTACTTTTCAGTTTGATTTCACAATAGAGGCTTCCATGCAGGAAACCAAATAAATGCACCAAATCTAAACTTGAATTTTTCTGCAAACAGGTATTTAAATCCTGGCCAGACACTCTTCTCACTAGTGCTATCGTTTTTCAGGTCCTAAGGTCCCAGTTTCCGAATCTTTTAAACAGTACTGATGCATTTTAACCAGCTTACCACTGTTTGTGGGCAAAACAGTCTAAAACTCTTTGCAGTTAGACAGAGCCAGCATGTTGGCTAAGCATAACTCAAGTATTACTTATTGATATTAAAATTGCTTGGTTTACTACAACAGTGAATTGCGTCCAAGTTGCCCCAGCCATCCTTTGTTCCTTTACACGCCTCCAGCATTCTCCATCCCCACCATCCTGCTCACAGACAGCCCTCAAAATATGCAGAACAGGTAAGGCCTAGTTCATCTGAAGAATAACAAGGTACGAGTCCTGAAATATTGCACTTCTTTTGACGCAAAAAGTAATGTTTGACAATTCTTACTCTCTGCTTGTGACATAGTCCTGCATTAACTGCTGCAGATGCAGTTTTTCTTGGATCTGGCCCAGATTCTTTTCTAGCTCCTTATTTTTTAGGTGTAGTTTTTTCAACTTCTTGACTAATTGTTCATTTTCATCACTGAGCTGAAAAGGAAGACAATTAAAAAAGAAAAAAAATCAAGCAACATTTTCAGATCAAGCATTAATTGAGCTGATAACATTTCAGATCAAAATTCTCTCCCAAAAGTTTTACTACATTTGTCTTGAACTATATAAAGAAAAACGTCAGGAAAAATAATTGGCTTCAAACTTTATGAATAATTGACTAAAACACAGCTTCTTTAACATATATATTAAAGGATTCCAGTGCAACTTCATAATTCATTACTGAACAACAAGGCAAAATGGTTTTGTATTTTTTAAAAAAGTGACAAAGGGACAAAACACACAAGTTTTCAGTTATACTTCTAAACTCAAAACACCAGCTCTGCAACTAAGCTCATATTTATTTTTGTCTTAACCTCACCGAAGCTGAAAGACTAAACTGCAGCCGCATTAGCAGAATTTCTTGCACGCACATTTGCTGAACCTCGCCCAGCAGCATGTAATCACGCCTATCGCCCAAAATGCACCAGATGCAACCAACGATCACGCCCTAACCTACAGGGTATTAAAAAAAACTGATGCTGTCGACACATCATCAGTCAAGAGAAGGAAGACCAGCAACCGAAAGCTGCTGTAAGCGTGAGCTCTGCCCCTGAAGGTGAAGGCAAACCAGGCCGAGCCGAGAGTCGCCGTGCCCCAGCGTCCCTGCGCGCTCTCTCCAGGCCGGGCCGCGGCGGGGCGGAAGGGCCTTCCGCGGGGCTCCCGAGAACCGGGGCGTGCCCCGGACGGACGGGAGGCC